GCGTACGCCCTCACCTTGTCTCGAGTGACAGGTGCATCACCCTGCACTGCTACTGGTGTGCGATGTGCTGAGACTACCTCTTATCGTGCCATAACCAGGGCATTTAGGGCTGCTCGAAAGCAATGAGGGCAAAACCATTGTAACCCTGTGCTTCGACAATGGAATGCGTAAGGTTCTGGTTTTAGGCCAGAGCATTTTTCATGCGTCCACTTGTGGCACACATCGTATTCTACATCTTCCACGATGCGCTTCCCACAACTAACACTTAGACATGGAAACGCTGCTCGTGGCATGTGAAAAACGAACGATAAAAACGTAATACAAAAGCGGGTTACAGCACCTGAAAAACTTCAAAAAACGCTACACCCAAAATGTAGATACAAATACCAAAACGTAACACTGTTATGTAATGCGGCCTTTTAAGAGGTCGCAGTAAATGTGCTAAACACACACTGAGACAAAGTTACTGTGAGTGAAATGTGAAATATCGTAAGATATTCCACGGAACTATTACCAAAAGGATTTTCAACGAGAGCACTTCAGAATTTCAAACCACGCACGAACGTACCGAAGGTCGATGAGTAGCGCTGATCGATGAAACGAGGGCGGGTAACGCTAACCCGGGCACCGGTGTCGACTAGAAAACGTATGCCAGTGACCTCGTCTCTGATGCAGAATAGGCAACTTCGTTTAGCTAAACCCGACACGGTCGTCGTCTGGGCCGGTCGGCTTAGGCGTTTTCCTGCTGTGATTATTCTTAACTACAAGGTTTTGTGCACCTTTGGGCTGTCACCATATTGGCGATGGTACCAGCAATCGTCCGAAGAGGTGTGTTGTGACCTGGGACGTCCCTGTTGACTATGTGATCGCGAACGGAAGGAGGACCGAGATTAAGAGATAGAACGCGACCGATCGCCGGAAAATTTAGACGCAGCTTCTTGGGTCATTAGCTCGTCCAAACGCTGATTTACTTGATCATTTGCGTCCTTCCATGCGTTATTCCCTGAGTCTGGAGGTATGCGGATGACTTGTGGAGCCGACGGTGTGTGTACGCAAATACTGCCGGCTGCTTTTACTAGTTTGTCCAAGGTAGCCTCATTCGCGAACACTCTAAGGAAAGTCGTGACGTAATCTGGCAGTGCTTGCATCCAACAGATGCGTAGCACGGTTTTGCTCAAGTTCAGGCTAGAAGCCTGACTCCTTATATAGCTGAGCAGCTGTGTGGGAGTATGTAGCTCGTTATCCCTTAGACGGATTCCGTGCAGTAGCTGTCTCAAACGGTTGTCCTTCGTCATGTTGAAACGGTGGGTGATCGCATCTTTTTATATGTCATGAGGTCTATCGGATGGGGATTACAAACCACGTCACTTAAGCTAGGCCCCATGGATCGTGGGATAAGTCCCACGATTTGCGTAAATTTGGTGACTTGATTGGTCTCACTGGCCGGCTGGAACTGCGCTTCTACCTGCACCAACCAGAACTCCGGGTTCTCGGGGGTGAAATCCGGGATTCTAGCCACTATAATAATCACATAGGGGCTATCATGCTACTTAATGTTGACTTCTGCGCTTATTTGATCATCGCTGCCTGAGGTTTGCATTATGCACGTAATTGATGGGTAAATTTAAAAAAATGCACAAGGTAAGTACGTCAACTGAATAAAAATCATTAAAATGAATCTGAGGTTATACCAGTGATAATCTAAAGGACTATGCAAGTGGAATAAAGAAACCAAAATGCGCGATAACTGTAAAAAATATCACTTCGGGCTCACCGATTTAGTCTCTAAGCTAATGATGTCCACGAATTCTTACATCCAGCAATGGACGAAGTAACGAACCAAAACAGAACGACTGGTATCACGAAACATCAAGGACGGTTGTATTAGAGTGAACTGGAAAAATGAGGGAGAAGCGCACAGGTAAGTAAGCGTGCAGAAAGTGAAAGCCAAAGTACCGTGATCAACGAGGTAATCTCGGTCCGGTAAAATAACAATCTACGGAATAAGGAAAAGGTACATGAGCGAAAAGGGTTGAAACCACACATACCAAACCAACTCCAACACGCCAACGCAAGTGAACTGCAAAAGTGCTTGGTGATTTGCACACATGTAGCCACATTGTCATTCGTTGCGACGCTACACGTCCACCACTCCGAGCACCATACGCCGGACAATACAGAGTAATTTCTCATTCCAAAAAGGTTTTTGTTTTGGACCGCAAGGGAATGCATGACTCGGTAAGCATTGATCGTTTAAAACCCGCGTATCTCGATTCATCATTTGATTCACCCATCACACAATCTTCCCATGTTCTTCCTTCACTAGTTATCTCTGAAACATCACCAACACCACGTCACTCAATAGACACAACACACACTTATTCAACGATCCCATCTTCTGCACTCGCATTTACACCTCAAACCGCTCCAATTACAACACGTCTTGCTAGAAAAGTACGCTTTCCTACTCGTTTTCTTTACCAATGCGCTTTTAATCTTGAACTCATCAAGTATTCGAATTGCACTTTCACTCCAGAGGGGGGTACTGTTGTATTGATCGATCTGTGAAAATCCTTCCTGTAAAGCCCAGTCATTTTATCTCGGTTCCACATTTCGTGAATTTTACGTTCCATTCACCAAACACCATCCGCCTCACATACATATAGACATTTGACGTTCCACTCTCCTTGTATATTTACACATCAGCCCTGCCATTTGACTTTGTTTGTTTATCTGCTTCAATTTTTATCCTACTTGTTTTAATCGCGACTTGAGCGCTCACATTTGGCTCGTTCATGTGCAGCGTGACGGTGAGCGTGCTGTTCTTACCCAGGCTCATTTTTTTCATTCAGATTTGTTGAATTACGCTTACAGTAACACTTGGCTCTTGTTTTCAAGTTGTTTTGAGATCACTTTGAGGTTTGTACAGTTTTTATTTGCTTATTTGATCGCAAATTAATGCAGTACCGTAGAAATTTGCCGGATCGTTCGTTTTGTTGACGCTTTGGGATCTAATTTTGGCTACGCGTTGATCATTGATCTATTTGGGAGTTACATCTGTAGTGTTTTACTTTTCTAACTTCTTTTATCTGACATGACCATACAGCTTGTTTTAATATGCACAACAAGTAACAACACAATACAAAATTCTGTTCGTAACTGCGCTCGTATTCTCCGAGTGTTTGCTGAAGCTTTACGCCTACATTATCAGTTATCGTCAAGCGGTTCGTTAACTGTCGCAACTATCCATTTCAGCAATACTGCACATTATCAACCGGAGCCACGCATCTGAAGAACAAGACCAATCAACCAACCGGACAATCCTTCAATGAGTTCTTTTCATGTACCGTTTATTTCATTATTATTCTTGTGTGTGGTATCTTTTCCGCTACATATTTGGTGATGTCATGTTTAGATGATCTCTAGATTCATATTATTCTACGATACACTAGGCTCTTCATGAAGTTCACTTTATTTTATTTCATTTTTTGCTGTACGTGTTAAACCAGAAAAAATCAAAACTGGACATAGAGGACCTACCCATATCTTCTCACATCAGTTTGCTCGCATTCGGTAATAGTGTATTCCACGTTGATTTTTTGAAAATCCTTCCCAAACCAGAATGATTACGTTTGACGTAACTCTGTTCTTTGCCTACTTGTTTATTTACGTATTCTGACTCAAATAAACGCCCACTTAATTGTTTATCTTTTGACCCGATGTTCGCCACATTTCAACTTGGCGTGTTCAGAGAACGTGATCGACCAGTTGGACATCCTTTTTGATTCTCGATTTTTTGAGTGCTTTTGGCCGCATATTTGAAGTTGGTTTTGTTGTACGTTTTGTGATGATTTTTTTAATTCAGTACCGCAAACATTACGGATTAATCGTGTTTTATTTCGGGATTCGTATCGGTTCGGCTACGCGTCACTCAAGTGCGAATTGGTTGACTACAGTACTCAAATAGTAATCAAACGAGAAAACTTTTTCAAAGATGCCCAGACGAGGAACCAAGGATACTGGAACCAAACAGGAAGTAACCTGGCAAGTCAACCAACCGGACAATCCTTCAATGAGTCCGTTCCTGGTACCGTTTATTTCATTATTATTCTTGTGTGTACTCTCTCTTCACTACCCTCTACAGCGTTCCTCGCACGTTTGGAATCACGATTCTATGAAGCTGGCATCACTGAGGAACTGTCACGTTACCATAGGCTTTTGTCCGCGATGCCGCGAGATATGTTGAGCAACTTCGGCGATATATATATATATATCAATATCTCCGCACACAACCCATACGACGAGCTCAAAGAAGCATTCTCTTCTTATGGCCATTTGTGAGGAGAAGCGCATCCAGCTTCTACTATCTGGGATACAACTGGNCTGGCAAACCTCAAGCCCTCCCAGTTACTCCAACAGATGCGTGCGTTAGTAGACAACACAACATTAGACTACTATGTACTACGCCAGGTCTGTCTCCAGTGGCTCCCGCCGTACGTACAGAGTGGACTTAATATCTTCACCCACGCCCACAGCCTCGACGAACTAGCCGAAGCTGCAGATCAAGCCATGGAGCAAGCTCAACTTTTTCAGCCCACAACGATGAACGTCGGGAGCCCTGAACCAACCATGGTTCACCAGACACTTTCAAATTCAGCTCCCGTTAAGCTCTTCAACGAGCCTTTGACAGAAGTGCAAATTTTGTCTAAGCAGTTGGTCGACCTTCGTTTTGCTATGAACATTATGCAGACCACAATCAACAATCTGCAGACTACCCTTACGACCCTTAGTCGTTTCCGGTCAGGCAACGGGCGCAGGCAAACCCCATCTAGGGGCGTCTGTGCTGTTACCACAGACGCTCCGACAATCAGGCTAGGAAGCTCAAACCGCCGTGTTCGTTCAGAAACTATCAGGGAAAATAACAGGCCGGCAGGTCACGGTGACTACCTCAGCCGGCTCTCCCACCTCTTTGTTGCCTACTTTCACTCTATGGTAAGTCGTCCAAGCTTAGATTCATGGTAGATTCCAGTGCGCAGGTCTGTAGAATACCGTTCACTAACAGGATGCTGCCAGCCCAGTAGCACTGAATTTGCAGGCAGCTAACGGTACCTTTATCCAAACCTATGGACAGCGACTACTGAACTTAGACCTAGGTTTAAGATGCTTTTTATCTTGGGTTTTCGTGGTCGCTCGGGTTTCTTACGCCATACTAAGCCTATACTTTTTGCAGCACCATGGTCTAATCATAGATCCCTGTAAGCGACAGATTAGAGACCCAGTCACTTCAAGAATCGTCGTCGGTTCCCTGGTATATTCGAAAACTCAGAATATTTGCGTCCTATTTTCCACGCGATGATTCACAATATTCATCCGGACTGTAACTCCCAAATAGATCAACGAGCGACGCGTAGCCGAAATTGGATCCCAAAGCG